TGCTCTTGGTTGTCCTCTGTGACTTCATGTAAGACCCTGTTGATGAATATACCAAATACTTGAATCAGACAGTAGAGACTGGTATTGACCTGGAAACCTCATCCCTCCTGGATAGCTTTCGTAGTGCTGGAAGGTGCTATGCATGCTACTGGGGGAGTAAATCCAATCTTGTCTACCTGTGAACCATGCATGCTACAATAGTGAGTGGACTGGAAGACATGCAATAGTGGTAGCGTTACTGTGGAAGTACTTTTTGAATGGCTTTAGGTCTTGCTATACAGGACAGAACTCATGCCTTGCATGGTTAATGAGACTAAGAAACTGTGAGTGCATAGGTCATAGGCCCTAGGGGAATAATCTATTGTTACGAAAATCTTTCCACCACCCACTTGAGTTCTGCCTGCCACGTGGGTGGCAAAAATAATACACAGAGACTTATAATAGGTACAAATGCTGCTTGGCCAATGACTAGGATTTCTCATCTTCTATCTCAGTCTTAACTATCATAAATCTATATATTTTATAAGACTTATCTTATTGGACACCAGTGGCAAGCGTCCTGTCTTCCTCGGCTCACATGGTGACTCTGGAAGAAGAGAGAAGGGACCCACTTCCTTCTTGCCCTTGCTTATATATGAGTCTCCCTGCTATGTCACTTCCTGCCTGGATCACCATTTCTTTACTACATTTCCCAGAATCCTCCTTGACTCCTAGTCCCGCCTAACTTGCTGCCTCATTGGCCAAACAGTACTTTATTTATCATCCAATAAGACAAACACTATCAATCTATTATTCCACTAAATCAAAGCCCTTTCTAAGTACTTATCTTTATAACCCTAGGTGAGTGCTTCTCATTACCCATCAAAGAAGTTTCTTTTCGTCATAGATGGCAATTAATATAGAGAGCCACATCTAGTCAAGGTGCAAAGAATCAGAGACAGCCCTAAACAGGGCATGTATATCACACACTTCTTCCAAAGGAATCTTTGAGGAATAGGGAACAGAAAGATAGTTAAAGCCAGAATAGTGGATGGCTATGTTAAACCAGTGTTTACCATGACAATACGAGGCAGTTGCACATGTAAACTCATAATGGCTGCTATAGCGTTCAAAAGACCTGTGAAAGATCAAACCAGTCAAAATCCTAGCATAAATGGGAGAGGGGGCATACCACAAAGTCCAGCCCTATCCTTAGCTGTGGAGTGATTTGCAACTAATGGCTGAGAGAGAGAGAGAGGGTGTGTGTGTCTGTGTGTCTGTCTGTCTGTGTGTCTGTCTGTCTGTCTGTGTCTCCGTGTCTCTGTGCATATATATGTCATGGAACCCCGTGTGTGTGTGTGTGTGTGTGTGTGTGTGTGTGTGTGTGTGTGACAGAGAGAGAGAGAGAGAGAGAGAGAGGGGGGGGTTTGTATCTGTCTGTCTCTGTCTGTCTGTCTGTCTGTGTCTCCGTGTCTCTGTGCATATATATGTCATGGAACCCCGTGTGTGTGTGTGTGTGTGTGTGTGTGTGTGTGTGTGTGTGTGTGTGTGTGTGTGTGA